AAACAGAATGCCCTGAAAAACTTTATGCTTTGCAGCTTTTATTATTAGAATTTTTTCTTTCCGCTTTGATTGTGATTGTCAGAAAATATTGTTTAAATAGAACCTTAAAATTGTAATAAAGCAGCAGATGATCACTGACTCCTGACTCTGCTCATCCCTCCCTCTCGCATCGACGCCTTACCCACCAAACAGGGGACCCTTCACCCCGCCGCGGCTGGACCGCGGCATGTTCCCTACACAGCACAGCCTGGGCAGTGAAATCATGAGGAGACCAGGCAGACCGCCAGGGCCCCCTGGCCAGTACTGCAGTGGGGCTGTGCATTCAGGCAATGGGTCCCTGGTGCCTGCATTCTACCCACCTCAGGAGGCTGCCCTGTGAGTGTAACCCACTAAGCATGGCCCTTCCTGTGCCTGTGTCACAGGGCATCCGTGAGGCTCGGGCTCATGAGGTGTTATCAGGTGTAACTGTTATTGTGCCCCTTCACAGATGGCCTTCTGCTGCCTGCTGTCACAGAGCATGAGAAAATGTGAAGCAGATAGAATGAACAACAGCACTGAGACCTGGCGGAAAAATGGACCTGCCAGTTAACACTGGCTCGAGCCCCTACCCTGTGGTGCTGTGGGCCTGTTTGACACTAGGACAGAGGTTCAAACCCACCAAGCATTCTGAGGGAGAAAGATGAGGCTGTCTGCTCTCATAAAGATTTATAGTCTCAGATACCTATATAGGGTAAATGCTCAACTGCTAACCACAAGATTGGTGGTTCAAACCCACCGGCTGCTTCATGGTTACCCTCTCCCATGAAGAGTTATAGCCTGGGGAAAAAAAAAAAAAAAAGAGTTATAGCCTGGGAAACCCTGTGGAGGAGCAGCAGGGACATCCGGCCGGTGGACCATATAAGGCCCATGAAATTACCAACACCAGCTACCATCACACACCTCACCGAAGAGAAGCAGTTCCAATAATCACATTAAAAACAAACAAACTCACTGCTATTGTTGATCCTGACTCATAGCGACCCTATAAGACCAGGTAGACATACAGCCCAACAAGCCCGCTTCTGGGCACATACCCAGAAGAGGCAAGACACAAACCACGGCCAGCCATCTGTGCTCCAATGTTCATCGCGGCACAGTTCACCAGTGCAAGGAGTTGGAAACAACCCGAATTTCCATCAGTGGAGGAATGGATCAAAAAACTGTGGCACATACATACAATGGAGTACTACACATCCCTAAAAAGCAGTGATGAACACATGAAGAACATTGCTGCATGAGAAGAACTAGAGGAAATCATGCTAAGCGAAGTAAGTCAAGCACAAAAGGGCAAGTACAACATGAGTCTGCTGAGGTAAGCTTAAAAAACGGGTGTAGGTGATAAGCTACTAAGTACATACATTCCTGGGGTAAAGTCCAGGCATTATGGCAGGGGCCAAACCTAATCCAGGGATGCACATGGCAGCCAACTAAATAGGAGGGGGAAAGAGAAGGAGAAAAAAGACATGGGTCGTGGGGAGCAGGGCACTAGCCCACCCAAGTGGAGGGTATTGTTTATATCTCCACAGGAGAGGGAGAGAGAGACCAGGCTTCGACCCAGTGCGCCAAGATGTTAATACAACATACTGGCATGTAGCAGAGAACCAACAGAGAGGTCAGTGGGCCTGGTCCCAATCTCAACTATGTGGACCACCCCCTCCCCTAGAATACACTTCAGAGGACAGCACTGAAGCCACAGCTTGGGGAGAGGGACACATCTGTTTAGAGCACACAGGAGAAATGAAGAGGGAAGGGGAGAGAGTGGAATACATGCTGGCCCACGGAGTCCTGAGGACGATATTCCTGCTCAGAGCAGACAATGTACAGAGAGGACTATAGGGCCGGCCCCGTCATGAGACATGACGTCCCTCACTGAACCATGGCACTACAGGGGACAACACTGGAGATACCGTGCGGGAATTGTGCCTGATCTGACCCCATCACACTGGGGCAAAACACTAAAGGCATGTAACAGAGCAGCAAGGGGCACAAAGCAATTAAGTCCCTGGGGAATACCAAAAAGAGACTTTGGGGACAGAGTGTAGCACCTCTTCAGACTCGACTGGAAAACACTCCTAAAGGTAAAAAAACAGACCTGTAACCATTTATAGGCTTCATTTTTTTGTCACTGGCTTTCTTTTTGTTGTTATTTTGTTTTTGTTTTTTGTTGGTTTTGTCTTCCTTTGTTGTTTTGCTTGACTTTGCCTGTTTTTTGTGATTATTAATGTCTCTGTCTGTCTATCTAGATAAGATAGGTGGGATAAACAATTTGAGAAGAAAACACCAGGATCGATGGTTCTGGGGGGACACAGGAGAAGGGGAGGTGGGAGAAAGGAAGTGGGGGGCGGTCAACCAACCCAGACACAAAGGAACAACAAGTAAACTAAAATCGATGGAGAGAAGTGCGTATGATACCTAGTGGGACTTAATCAAGGGCAATATAACAGCAAGGAATTACTGAACCCCAAAGAAGGCTGAACATGATAGTGGGACAAGAGGAAAGCAAAGTGAAATAGAGGAAAGAACTAGGAGGCAAAGAACATTTAGAGAGGTCTAAATACAGGCATGTACATATGTAAATATATTTATATATAAAGATAGGGAAATAGATCTATGTACTTATATTTATATGTTAAGTATTAAGGTAGCAGATGGTTATTGGGTATCGACTCAAGTATTCCCTCAATGCAAGAACACTGTTCTAATAATCTGGCATTCTGTGATGCTCCCCTTCCCAACACGATTGCTGAAGACAAAATGGGTGCATAAGCAAATGTGGTGAAGAAAGCTGATGGTGCCCTGCTATCAAAATATATAGCATCTGGGGTCTTCAAGGCTTGAAGATAAACAAGCGGCCATCTAGCTGAGAAGCAACCAAGTCCACATGGAAGAAGCACACCAGCCCGTGATCATGAGGTGTTAATAGGATTAGGTATCAGGCATCTCAAAGATTCAGAACAAAATCATACCAATGTGAATGGGTGGTGGGGGTGGGTGGGGGTGCATAGTGGACCCAAAGCCCATCTGTAGACAATTGGACATCCCCTTACAGAAGGGTCACAAGGAAGAGACAAGTCAGTTAGGGTGCAGTATAGCACCGATGAAACACACAACTTTCCTCTAGTTCTTTTGTGCTTCCTTCCCCTCCACTATCATGACCTCAATTCTACCTTACAAATCTGACTAGACCAGAACACAGGGAATCCAGGGCAGATAAACCCCTCAGGACCAATAATGAGACTAGAGATACCAGGAGGAATGTGGGGAAGGCGGGGGGGATTGATCACAAGGCTTGACATATAACCCCCTCCCAAGGGGGCAAACAACAGAAAAGTGGGTGAAGGGAGACAGAGGATGATGTAAGATATGAAAATAATAATCTATAATTTATCAAGGGTTCATGCGGGAGGGAGGGTGCGGAAGGTAGGGAAAAATGAGGAGCTG